TATTCTGCCTCTACTAATACAGTAGATGTGGAATGTTGAAGATAATATTTCCTTTAGAAAAGATATCTAGAAACTTAAAAAAAATCTTTAGAAATAATGAAATTTTTCTAGTAGCTTTTTTCGTAAGCAAATTCATATCAAGCTCTTAAATACAAACCTACTGTTTTGAACATTTCATTAGATGGGAATCATGACTTGAGATATAGATAATTACTGTAGGATCTATACTTTAAACATTGGAGATATTTTTAAAAATATCAACAGGCTGCATACAGAGGTGGGATTGAAAATTTTTAGCAACCAGTTCTCTGCCTGTTTGCTAGGTGGGCATGGCCATGGGGGCGTGGCCTACTCAGCCTTCTGCACCACGGTGGGGGGGGGACATTTTCACTCTCCCCAGGCTCCAGAGGCTTTCCTTGAGCCTCCAGGAGGACGAAAACGGCCTCCCCTGTGCTCCGGAGGCCTTCTGGAGACCGGAAATGGGCCCGTTTCTGGACTTCCTGAACTTCTGGGAGGCCCATTTTTCACCCTCCCAGAGCCTCCGGCAGGGCCCTGCACTTACCTGGCATCCAAAACAGGCCACGTGGAGACTCCTGAGAGGGGAGGGGAAGGGTGGGCAGGGCCAGCCAGGCCTTGCAACTACCGGTTCGGTGAACCAGATGTAAAATTAGCATCTGGTTCACTTGAACTGATCCAAACCGGCTGAATCCCACCTCTGGCTACATAGTATCACAAATTATTTGAAAACTACGCAAGGTACAACTCACAGTGAAATAAGCAATAAACTTAAGCTGCCTATATGATGGTGTTCAAATATTTTCACATGCATCAATTACTAGTGCAAGTTTAATAAATAAAAAGTAAATGTACTGAATATTCTGAGATATAATTTGAGGGAAACATTTGGCCAATATATTTGTACTTACTAACCAAGAATTTTAATCAGAGTTTATACATGAAATAGGTTTTTACTTTTATAATGAAATCAGCATGAGTGGGAAAAATGCAGAGATAGATGTATTCTTTATTTAAAGATACATTTACTGTCTCTTTTCTTCTTGTCTTTTCCTTTTTTCCAATATTAAAGTAAGACTGGAACTGATTTGCAAGTCCTTGTCTAGTTCAAGGACTTGACCCTTGTCTTCAGTTGTGAATAACAGGCAGTAATGACTTCTTAATCAGTACATCATTCATGAAACTTAATGTAGTTGTTCAACAGTTCCTTCTTTTTTAAAAAAGAAAAATTCTGAGATCTTCAGCAATTTCCCCTTAAATCTCATAGGAGAAATGAAGGAGTCTAGAAACTTCTCATGCATTATTGCCAAAGCTTATGGGATTCCAGCCTTAATAGCAGGAGAAAGTTTATTTGAATGATAAATCAATTCAGTGTATGCAGTTTATTATTGCGACTTCTATTTTGTGAATTGCGATGATCCAACTTTATTTTATGAAGACTACTATGCAATCTGGTCAAGCCAATATTTCTTCTACAGAGATTGTATTGAGTATATAGGCTAAGCATATAATGTATATGCTGGCTCTATAGAACTTAGCTAATATCAAACATTTTGGTATTTAAAAAACCAAAATCAATATTATGACTATAAAATTCTCCCATCTTTTCTTTCCCCCTGTGATACTATGGTGATTTTATTGCTATTTTCAAATGGTTCTGGTTTCATCTCCTGCTTGAAAAACCAAGATTAAGCTACAATATCCTAGTTAGGAAGGAGAGCAGTGGAGTATGAAAGTGCAGTGTTTATTGTTAATATAATAACTTGGAATTTATTAAATTCAAATCACTAAATCTGAAGTGATCCTAAAGAATAATCATAATAGTTACTCAGTTAGTGGCCTGGATAATTGTAAAAATGGATGCTGTTAAGGCAAAAACAAATTCCCTAAAGCCATGTTGTTAAGTTAGTCATAAAGCATCCAGAAGAAAATAATGCCTTATTAAAATGAGAAAATGTATTTTTTTCTATTTCACTCACAGGTTTGTGAATTCTTTCAAACGCAGAGATTTAAATGCAGTTTAGAGATTCTGTATTAAACGTGTTTATACATAGATATCAATGGAGTCAACATCTGTAGAACTATCTGATACCCATTGTGGCTAAAAACACTTGATATGAAAATACACCTTTATTTTCTGTCTAAACTTTAGGCATTTATAATTTTCCTCAAAAGCACCCACATACAGTCACAAAATAATAATATTTTTTAACAAAGCATTGCAGTGTTCTTTTGTTTATTTTTAGCCCCAGACTTCTATATAATATTATATTCGGCACAAGAAACCATCTGTTGCCCTCTAACGCCACTAAATGACATTGACAGGTCTCACTGTTTCAGCAACGTAAGGAAGATATTTAGGGATGATTCACACCCTGTCCAGTGTAACTTTTCGCATCTACCATTGGGCAGAAGACATTGAAGCATAGCCAGCCGGACAAACAGGTTTAAAAACAGCTTCTATCCATGGGCTGTCAGACTCTTAAACACAATCACAATCACTTCCCGCACATACGGAAACGTATGACTAGTCTTTTCCCCCCAATTATTTGTATAGGGATTATTCTCTATACTATTTATATTGTTTTGTATTTTCTGTTATGGATTGCACCAGAGAGGCTAAACCAATTCCGTTGTATATGATGTACAATGACAGTAAAGGCTATACTACTATGATATTAAAAATGTTCTTTCATGCACCATCTGCTGTTTCACATTTTTTGTTTGCATTTTTCCCTAGTATCAATTTCATGAAAACCCTATTTGTAATCCTCAATTATTTCCCTCTTCCTTTAAGAGGGAATTTCCGCCTCTTCTATTGCAACCTCTTCTCTCATATTCTATACCAATCCAAAAAGACCCCAGGATTGGACAACAGAGAGATAAAGGGGTCTGAGAAGTCAAAGTGATTTATGTCTTTTGTGTAAGTGGAAAGATAGGAGTTGGGCATTGTACCTCTTATTATTAAACAGTTTTGTGTTCATGTACCTCAGAGTGAATAATACTGTTTGAGCAATACTAGGAATGGTAGTAATTTAGCATAATTGCAGTATTTCTGCATTACTATTAATTACTATTTTACTATTAAATTACTATTACTTTTTCTGCATTACTATTAATCTTCTCATCATTCCTATCACCCATCTCCTCCCACTTACGACTGTATGACTGTAACCTTGTTTCTGATATCCTTAAGATTTATATTGACTGTTTCCCTATGACTATCATTAAGTGTTGTACCTTATGATTCTTGACGAATGTATCTTTTCTTTTATGTACACCGAGAGCGTATGCATCAAGACAAATTCCTTGTGTGTCCATTCACACTTGGCCAATAAAAATTCTATTCTATTCTATTATATCACACAGGGGAAGGGAAGGGAAGTTTCTCCATTTATTTTTATGCAAATGCTCTTCATAAGGAGTACCATGTTTGATCTCTTGATTTTCTTGAAGGTATGCACATTTTTAGGTACAATGTTCTTTTTCTTGTTGTTATAATTTGTTCACAAAGAACAGAACTGTCTTGTCACTGTGTTTTAGATATGGGAGACTTCACAGCAAGCTCACTTATCTCTGTCATATTTACCGTCTGTACTGGGAGACCAAGGTCACTTTGTTCAGCTTCTCCCTGTTTTAATTCTCCACAAGGCAGTGGATTGCGTTAAATAGCACCTCACCTATTAAAAATTCTCTACAAGTGGATTGTTATATAGCACCTCTGATCAAGTTTATGCTATTCTTACTTTGGAGGGATGGACAGAAACATCAACCAACTGGCCATTGTGATGCACTTACACAACATTTTGCTAAGTCATTTATATTTGCCTGAGCCTTAATTCTTCATGGGCAGAATCTGGTGAGATATGATCTGGGCTTCATTTCCCTGTGGACTCCAATTAAGTGGACAGGATATCCTATAGCGTGAGCTTTGCTGACATGTTTTGAGCGATGTAGTGTTATGAGTAGCTGGATCAGCAAAATGGCCCATGCCTCTTTCATAGGGAAAGTTGTTCTGGATGCCTTGGGGAAAAAATGGAGATTTGGCCCCTCCTGGAGAGATTTTCCCTGCATCTGGCTATACTGCACAACTATTGTCCTCTTTCCTGCCTCCTCTTTTTAAAACTGGTTTGTTTGTTTTACAAGTCTTAAAACCACTCAGATGGAAATCAACCCTGAACACCATACAATTCCCATTTTCATTAATTCTGATTAAAATAAAACAATTAGCGAAAGAACAATTTTCAAGGAGGTTGTTTAGAACCTTCCTGTGATGGGGTTTCATTTACAGAGTGTCCTAGGGTAATAGATTATCAGAGTTCCTTTCAATCAGGATTAGGTTTAGAAGTATGCATGGAATAACCTTGGATGTTGTGATGGATTGGTTCTGGTTCTGTTCTTCATTATCTTATTGATCCTACTTGACCTCACAGAGTCATTCAATACTATTGACCATGATGCTTTTTTGGGCTGCTGCAATTGTTGGGTGCTATTCTACAATGCTTCTACAGCATTCTACAAAGGTGATAACAGTTGGTCTTGGGGTAGGTAGAATGAGATATCAGCCTAACAGTCTCCCCTGAGCAGAGTTGGTCTTCTTGTTCCTAATATTTAACATGTACATGAAATTGCTGGGTGAAGTTATCTCTAAGTTTGGAGGAAATATCATCAATGTGCTGATGATAGTCAGCTATAGATTTCCACTGAGAGTTGGGTAAGAGATACTGTAGAAATTTTGATCTACAAAATTTCTGGTGGTTACAGTTCCATAAAGTTAAACCCTAGCAAAAGCCTCTCCAAAAACCATCTACTTCTACTGCTGTAGTAGTAACTCTGCATAGGACATCATTTCAATGGAAGACTAACAAAATAACAGAGTTGGAAGGGACCTTGGAAGTCTTCTCATCCAATCCCCTACTCAGGCAGGAAGCCCTATACCATTTTAGACAAATGATTGTCCACACTTTTCTTAAAGCAGGTCTACAAATTAGAAGTCATAGCTACTGCTGGATTTCAGGTGGAGGGATGGCCAGAGGAATCCTTACGCAGCTTTAGTTGCTATAACAGTTACAGCCCTGCCTGGAGCAGGAAGCTCTGATGATAGTGACATATAACTTCAACATCATAATGAGACTTGACTACTGCAATCCACTCTACGTGAGGCTGCTTTTAAAAACTATTCTGCATTTAAAGCTGGTGCAAAATGCAGCAGCCATGTAGCAAGTGAGACCCTTATGGCTGTTATTACATTAGTTCCCAGTATTTTCTGAGTAGAAACTACAGTGCTGGTTTTACACAGCTTGGATCTTAGGTACCTTATGATCTGCTTCCTCCGTATCTCAGTTAAGATGTTTTGTTTCCATATATATATATACATTCTATCTTGGGATGAAAACCAAGAGGTGATATGTTTCCTTAATGACCTAATACAAGTCTCCCCCACCCCAACATCTCAATGGCACCGTCCTCAGAATCATTTGCAAGACAGCTAAGAATGATTTTTCCCCCCATAGGGCCTCTGTAGAATAATGCTATAGTACTTACTGTTGGTGCTATTACATCTTATTTGATTTTAATGCAGTCATTATGAGCCTGTTAACTATTCTGCTATTTTTATGATTGTCTTATTGTTGGGGACTGTATATTTTATTTGTTTTAATTATCATTAACCAATAGAAATTCTTCTTTGATTAGAATGGTATACAGATTTTATATGTCTCTCTCTGTGTGTGTGTGTGTGTGTGTGTGTGTGTGTGTGTGTGTGTGTGCGTGTATTACACAGGGCATGTTACTGAAAGCCAATGCCCATGCATCAAAGAGAAAGAGACAACAAATGATGGACATTCCAATATCATTGCAACCTTAATAATAATTAACACCAAGAAAGTGTGGATGCTACAATGCTAGAATAAATATACCCTTGGCGTAGCTGTACTATGGGCACAGTTTTAATTTACCACCAGGACTTTGTAGGATTTCTGCTCTCGGTAAATCCTTCAAGTGGCTATGAAAGAATACTGTGACTTAAAGCATTCATTAAGCATCAGTATTCATTCTATACTATTAAGATTCAAAACACTTCCACAGTAGAATGATCTCTTTCAAAAGAAATTAACATAGAATTCCTTTGTAGATACACTTTAGATTGGCAGTTTTGCTTAAAACATAAATAAAAATAATATAACCAGCAATAAAAGGTGATTTAAAAAGTCCTTTGGATAGCTACCTATATTATATTACAACAGAGACCATGAAATATTGAAGAATAATAAAAAATCATATAAAAGTATACCTTAGTAATAAAATAAGCTACATTTACTCAGGGCTGATCTTGATTGTAGAGAATGTAGTTAGATTTTCTTTGTGATTTTGTTTGTTTGTTTGTTTGTTTGTTTAAAGTGCTTGTCATTTTCCAGCTATAACCTCTCAAACTTAAGATATACAAAACTGATATACTGTATAGCCGCAGAAATTTGCAATAGATGAACATTTAAGAAACAAAGGAACCTATCAGTTAAACAATTTATGTTTCTGGAATCAAGTATGTGAAAACATCAAGTTAAATATAGAATTCTTAAACAATGCCCAAAGTTCTAGAATTAGATGACACAATAGAATGAAACTTGAATTTCCTCATAATCTGTCCGTTGATCCTGGAGAAAAGTAGATAAATAGGCAGATGGTTGCTATAGTATTTTTTTCATCTTCCAGGCATTTTTAAGTTTCTTCACAGAAACTTTCTAGTTTAGCAACAACAACAAAAGAGAGATCTATTGAATGTTCTCTATTATTCCAAGTTTTGCTTATGTTCTTGAGTTGTTTTCACTGAAAAGTAACAAAAAAAACCCTCTATATCATCTACCTATCATCTGTCTCTCTGTCTATAATCTACCCATCTATCTACCCATCTATCTAAAAAAATTAAAGGAGTTATACATGTATCTGGGAATAATGGGTGGTATATTATTTTTAATCTGTTATGCCAAAAATCTTTTTAAAATATGCATTTCTTCTACTATCTTAAGAGTACTATCATATTTTCATACCATTAAGATCATTTAAAAATTACGCGTAAACATATAGATACACATAATTTTATTTATGCTTTATGAAATGCTAGATTAATTAATAATCCACATAGTTTTTGACTTTTTGATCTAGATAGCCTATGTAGAAAAAAAAAACCATAGTTGATGACTCTTAAAATTGCTAAAAGAGCCAGAAAAATAAAAAGGCTAGCATACACTGAAGAAAATTTGAAAAAGTATAATATAGTGTTATATAAATAACATAAAAATAATGTAGCGTTACCATTTTCAGAACACTATTCATATAAATTTTTAAAAAATATGTAACTTCAGTAATTCCACAAAGCGGTCTGTAAAATACGCCTCAAAAAATAATTTGATCCTATAATGCAATATTAAAATAGCGTTCAATGTTAACCAGAAAGCAGTGGAAATATTTGTTTTAGTTACATATCTTCCTTTAGTCAAGTAACAACAAAACACAGATCTGACACACATCTGTTTAAACTGAACAGCTATGTGTGAGACAGGGACAAGGGTGTGCTGGAGTCTGTGGAACAGGCTGTGCATCCAGCAACTGCACATATTGGCAACCTCTCTTGCCTGTATCCTTGAAATGTGGGACAACTGTGCAATGCCACCCACAAGTGTCTGACCCACGGTCATAATCTGTAATCATCCAGTTCCTCCCAGGGGTGGTGTAGAGAGTAAGGAAGACGACCTTGATGAAAATATGCAGACTTCATGTACAGTCAAAAGGGCTTAAATCATTTTTTGAGTCCAGAATAAATCAGGCAGACATTTCTGATTCATAGGAATATAAGAAGGAGAAAAGGGAGGTACAGCACAATCAGACTTACATGATTATGTTACTATAGTCAAACTATGAAAGCCAGTTTGGTCTAGTGATTAGGGCTAAATTCCATTTTAACCATGAAAGCCAGCTCAATGATCTTGGGCCAGTCACTTTTCTCAGCCTAACTCACTTCACAGGGGGAAAATAGGAGGAAGAAGGTATGTTGGATATGTTCACCACCTTTGGTGAACTATTAATTCACCAATAATTTGGTGAATTATTTGTAAAAATAATAAAGGTGGGGTAAAAATAAATAAATGTCCAATCTCAATAAAAGGGGTTTTAGTCTTCCTGTGGATGTCATGGTCTGGACTACTTGGGAGAGGAGGTGGGGTGAAAAATCAAGGGAAGCATCCTGTTTTCACATTCAGGCAAACCTAAAATCTCTATCCATGGTCAGTTCCCCCTTCTGTGGAAACACTTTAGGTTCTTCCCACTGGTGGTGGTGGTAGAAGCAGAGAAATGGTATCATAACACAATGCTCCTCAAACACGTGAGCAGTTCCCCCTAAGTGGAAGCACTTAGTTTTAACTAGCTTCCAGAAGGTGATGTCAGAAGAAGCCAACTGTGCTTCTGGAGGTGGGGAGACTGTTCTAAAAGAACTGAGGCCACAATGGAGCAACAATATGTCCTGAGCCTGTCTTCCTCATCTCCTGAAATGGGGAGCGCTATCAGCTTTGTCAGGAGTGTTGGAAGAAATATCCATCTAATTCAGTTCCAAGCCAGGAGAAAGACACTGGAGACAAAATAGAGGCTAGAGGCTGATTGGAAAGATGGTTTAATGATGAAGCAGAACCACATGGGTTCTTCTGGGCAGCTGACCACATGGAGTTGAGAGTGGGGGATATTTATACCTTCTCTTAGGCTTTGCACTTGAGCTTCCTGTTCCTGTGCAAGAACATGTATGCTATTGGCTGTTGTCAGACTCCCATGGTGCTATGTACAAATCCTAGGAGTTTGTCTGAGATAGGTTTGGTTGAAGTTTGAGGGTGATGAAATGAAGGGGCTTGTGTTTGAAAGGGTGTTGGGTAATTCCTATTGTGGCTTAATGGCTTTGCCTTGAAGGATAATCCCATCATCCTGGAGCTGAAGGTCTTTTGTTTTGTAGATAGGCTGGCCCAGTCTTTCTTAATCGGCACAAAATATCTGCTGGGGCTATTAAGAAAGTAGGGGTTGCTTTAAAAAAAAGCATGTTTCTCCATTTTTCCCTTTGGGAACTATAATATTCTGCCCTTTTTAAATATTCCTCAAAATATTTCATTCTTCTAGGAGAGGGGTGGATGCTAACTTTCTACAGGAAGAACATCTTCAATAGGATGATTCTAGTTGGAAAAGGTGGTCCTATAGATCTCTAAGAGATAAACCTTAACAGTTTTTGTAAGCAATCCCAAGAGGGAAAGTGCAGTGTCACTGGAGGAAGGAGTATCAAGTGGATCCATTTGATGAAAGGAGTATTGCACCATTATGATGTAAGCCCAACACTTTTTCATACCATAGATCTTGAGGTGCTATGGCAAGATGTTGCTTTAACCCTTTAAAAAAATGGAGAAATGGAGCGGGAGCCAGCCGACACTGTTGAGGGCCAAGGCTTGAGCATCTACTAGAAGAGCCTCCTGATTGGAGCAGAGCACCAATCCAAATTGGGCAAAGGTATTAGTTCCATCACTTTCAAAGCCGTGCAGGATTTGGTCACTTCAGTCCAGACACTGCAAACTAATGGAGAAAAGGATACATGAATTACAGTGCTCCTTTCCTGAAAACAGGAAACTGGGAGAAAGAAAGAAAAAAAAAACTGGCTGAAGTATTGCAAAACAATCTCTATTTGTCAATCCCTCTTTCTAAAGGAAATATTCAAGTATTTATTTTTTAGTATAGTTATATCATTTGCCATAATTGCCATAATTTATTGGTTCACACATTCCTTTTTAAATATAATTTGGTCCTTCATTTCCATGCTTTTTCCCACCCAACAGGAGCAAAATTTCCCCCCAACAATGCAAGTCTTTGTTAAGCAGGAGCTGAGTAACAATTGGGTTGTATAAAATAGCTTTGAGGCTGCTTTTTATTGAAATCCTTCCATCCATTCTCACCATGTTTGGCACAGCTTTTAATGAGCCTGCCTGAACTCGAGTAACCCCTCTGGCAATTTGTAAGGAAGAAAAATTAGACAGATCATTTTATTCCGTGGGTTGGTGATGAGGTAATTGGCTTTCATTACAGTATTTTCTTTTGTAACTGACACATCTCAACTGGAAGATCCAGCACCCTCTGTGAGCTTATGAAGTCCTTCACAATTCCTGGCTGCCCAATGCAGGATCTTGTGACACTATAGGGTTATTTTTTTTCCCACCACTAAATTTCACTTTTAGATGTGCACTTTTTCTATAATTGTCCTTCCTTTCATTTCCTCTTCCAAATAGTTCAAAGCAGAATGATTGATTATCCTTATTAGAACACTTCCCCCAGCTAAGTCAAAATACATGGTCATATCCATTCCAACAACTGTGGTAAAGTGAAAATAGGAGAGTTTCAGGGTATCGTTACAAATCAGTGCGTTTTCTTCAAAAGCAGAGTTCTAACCTTGTGGTTCATTTGTTTTAACAACTGTCCTTTGATTTAACAATGCTTTGAATAATAATCTTGAGGTACAAAATTTCCTTTTTTTTCCTCCAGTGGAAATGCAGCTGCTTACATGATGGAAAGATATGACTGAGAAAACAATGATGGGAGAAGCATTTGAGAACTCCAGATAATCATTCTTATAAAGTTTTTCTTCCATCTCATTTTTGCTTCCTATTGCTAGTAATCAGAAAGAACATAAAAGAGGAGAGTTCAATTTTTGCTTTTTATCAGAAATTGTACATCTGCTTTATAAACTCGACAAATTTAATAATCTCATTGTCTGCCTTCAATGTGTATTTTCCATTTGCCACCTAAAACCTATTTCTCGAGCCATTCTTGGTACTCAAATTACAAAGGACGATAACGTCATCTAAATATTTCAGCAAAATAGAAAATTTGTGTTCTCATTAGCAGTTGTGGATATAAAAGGGAAGAACCCCTCCTGTTTTAACTTTTCTTTTATAGCAGCTGTGTTGTCTTCATAGGACTGTATATATGACACTCAGAACCCTCTGAAGGAAGAATGGAATAAAAATGAAAGGAACAAATAAAATAGATTCCTGGAGCTCATTGTTGAGCTTCTATGTTTTGTATCTCCAGAGAATGGAAAATGATTTCTGTTCATAGCAAGGTTATTTTACACTTCACAATAGCAGAATAGGTGGGTGAAAAAAAATGCTTAGAACAAAATAAAAAACCCTGAAACTCAATTCATTCCTGATTTTTGCTGTGCAAGAACCTGCACCAGCTCAATTTGTCCATGAACAGCTCCCAAAGCATGGCACTTAGCAAATATTATACAATCCTTGAAATCAACATCGGCTGCTTTCCTTTGTTTCATGTTTCTTTGGGTCCGTCTCACACTCTTCCATCTTCTGAATGAAAGTGTAAATGTCTTTCTGAAGCAACCAACATTAAGAACAACATCATATTGCTAGAGTGTTATTTGTTTACAGCAATGGGGTTACCCTAAGGCCACATATAGCCATCAATTTTTCCAAAGCCTTTGGAAATCTGACAATCATTGTTGAAAATTGATAGTAGATCCCTACTGTTCTGAAGTACAAAACATTAAGCCCTGAAAAGTCTTACCATTGATAAAACACCAGGAAATTATATATCCACAAAATTGACTCATAAATGTTAATGTCTCCCATTCTCTCATCACCTTTATGATCCACAGCCATTTCTTGCCTTCTTCAATTCAGTTTCAGCTTTGTCCTCCAGAGACTGGCTCATTTCCAACTTACAAATTCTATTGCTTGTCTCTGACTTAAAAGTCTAGCTACATCTATGAAAGGGCCTCCCTCACATCTTATAGAGCTGTATACTTACATAATATCTATCTTATCTGTAGCCACTAGCTGTTAGTAAAAGAATTGGAAACAGCCTGTCCTTGAATGCAAGAATTTCTTTGCTTTCATGCTTCATTGGTATTTTGTGTGCTGGTGAATAACTTTCCTTCAGCCTGTCTTTTGAAAGGACAGATTCAACTCCAGCATGAAGCATTGTAAACTGTCTGCATGGATAGAACATGACTGGCTGCCACCAATCATGGTGAACCTTATCCATTACATCATCATCAGACAAGGGTTAACCCTGACAACCCCACTCTTTCATGTCTGGGCAGTGTTTCTGTGATGAAGAATGGCTCAGAAAGTGATAGGAATAAAAATGATGACTCCCAGTTTGGTTGGTTGGTTGATTCTGAGAGGCAGTAGAATTGTTAAATATATTGCCTGTATGATAATAAGGAAAACTTAACTTTAAATGTTATATCCTAGATTCCAAAAGTAGTCATATATTTCATCTAGAAAAATGGACAGGAAAGTGACAAAAAGCAGTTAAACATTTATTCTACAATTTGTGTAAGAAAGAGAGAAAAATAGGATAAGTTATTTCACCATTCCTTTGTAGAAAAATTATTAGCAATTAATGGATAATAGTATCTAAGCCTCCCATTAAAAGAAGACAGCTCCAAGTGCTATTAATTATTCATTTCTGTTATAATTCTGAGTATTAAAATGTTTTCCTGAAACCATTGTATGTACACATACATGCTAAAGCTACAAATCATTCAAAGCAATACTATAGTCATGGTAAAACCAATTCTGGCAAAAAGGTCTTCTCTTCCGTCAATGCAGGTGATGCTTGGAAAACTATGTTTTCCAAACATTGATTTAGCTGAATAGTGAGATTGGATGGGTTAGAACATAAAACATAGACTAATAGTGTTGGAAAGGACCTTGGAGGTCTTCTAGTCCAGCCCGCTGGTGAACCAGAAGACTCTACACCAGTCCAGAATAACAGAAAAACAGACTTGGAAGGGACCATCCTATTGGTTCTCTGTGAAGCTCCAAATGAGCTTGCATTGATATATTGATTGTGTACATGGTCACGATATTTCTCAATGAGCTTAGCCTTGGAAGATCCACTTCTTCACAGAACTGAAAGAGCTGATCTCAATGGAAGAGAATATAGTATATGTAGCTCAAGGTTGAACTGTGGAGTCCTTGGTGCTCTCTTGGTAGAACCAAACTCATAAAGTGCCGAAAACTCCTTAGGAAGAGCTGAGTTTCATGCAGCCCTTTTAAACTTTGCAAGGCTGTGTGTAATTCTTCCCTGTCATTGCTAACCTATTAACTTAAAGTTCAACAAGACAAAGGTATTACCAGAATGTAGCAAGAGCAAAGAAGTCTCTGATGTTGAAAGTCCCAAACGTGATAAATAAGTCATCCAGTTCCACTGAAGAAGAACACTTTTCTTATCAATTCTGCCTTCCAAAATAGTTAGAAGTAATTAAAAAGAGGTTAATTGTTTCAATGCTCCTGTAAAGCTAGAACAGTCAGCTGTGAATGTTTCATTAACAAATATCTACACAACTGTAATAATCCTATAAATGAATAATGCCGAGAAAACAACCATAGCTTACTGGTCAAGCACAGATTCTGTGTCTAACATCTAGAGCCTTGACTGGAGAAAACATTTGTCTGAAATTGTGGAAAGTGACTGCCAGTAACCTGTACCAAATTATATGGAGTAATCATTTGACCAGGTATATATTTTTTAAAGCAGCACATTTTTCTTCAGTAGGTCTGCTGCTGCTGCAGCATATTCCAAGCTGCTTCTATATCAGTAGTAGAATCCAATCTTACATTTATAAAAAATAGTTTGCTTCAATCATTTCTCAAATTTCAATGGAATCATGGTGGATTTGAATAGGTCCTTAGGGTAAGAATTTAACACTTCTATCTGTATTGGAGGGGGGTGGGTGAGCTGTTTAAGGGACAGATAAAGGATGTCTCTGGGAGTCCAGTAGGTGACACTGCTTCACTGATGAGACCCAGAGAAAGCCCATTCTGTCCAATCTGATAGGATAGACAGGAATCAATTGGGGAGAAGTGATCCTACAAGTAACCTAGCCCCATGCCATGTAGGGCTCCAAAGGTGACCACAAGACTTTGAATTGTACCCATATGCCTATTAGGAAACAGCGCAGCTCAGATAGCAGCAAAATATGGGATGTGGCATTGTACTTGGGATCAAATGAAGCTTCCATATGTGTTTTCAAGGACAGTCAAGAACAGGAGTGGGGAATTATGGGCCCTTTTAAAAACTGTAAACTTTAACTCCTAGGATTCCTGAGCCAGCCATTCTTTAGGCATGCTGGCTCAGGAATTCTGGGAGTTGAAGTTCACAAATCGTAAAAGGGCCATAGTTCCCCACCCCTGAACTGTGTTGAAATAGTTGATGAACACGTCCCAATTTATGATTTTTTGCAGGCAAAAGACTTGTAAGCAAATCTTCTCAGTATGATTTACTAAGAGGCAAAGGATAGAGTTCCAAGAATTCTGACAATTGAACTATTTCCCATCTATGATTAATATACCCCAGTGTCCTTTATGGGGTTGATATTTTATTATCTGTCAGATTGTTTCCTGTGATTTGGTGAGATGGCTAGAACTTCAACTGATAATGGAGAAGATTGTATATGAATATTTATGTAATGGTCTTCTCGGTCTTTATCAGTACAGACACCAAGTCTTGTACTAAGTAGTTCTAAAAAAATCCTGGGAACAGAATAGAACAGTTCTGACAAAATGGCAATCTGCTAAGCAGAAGTTTGTTCGACATTCCATTTGTGACCCGTACAAAGATTTATGACTGTTTTGGATAAAAACATCGTAAACAGAAATTCTAATTACCACACTCTTGTTCCTCAAGTGTGTGTCCTGGCCAGACAACCTTTTTTTTAATCTCTATTCCCCAAAACTAGTGTCAGGCAATTCTGGGATTTGGAAATGGTGATTACCACAAAGGACAGACATTCAAAATGGGAACAGCATAACTACCCACATACGAAATGTTTTATTTGGGTTGGGGGGTTATTTCATAGACATATTTTCAATGAAAGGGGGGAAAGGGTCATGTCTCTCCTTTCTCTCTGTATGAATGTGTTTAGAAAGCAAAATAGCTCAAAAAATGTCCCATAGGAAAAATAGGAACTATTGTTAACAATTGTAATATTTCACAATTATCTCTTTTTCACTTCATTTTAGGCCATATTTGATGTTTCCATAAGCAATAAAATAAAGCATTTAAGGAATATGTGTGAAACCATGACCTGTGAAATATAACCTTACTGTATATAAATTGAATGTCGTTCAGTTTTTGCTTTTTTGAATTTGTTGAAGGCCTAAAAAATCTTGAGTAGCCCTTGTTAACTATTAATAAATTCCATCTGTATTAATATAATGCAAAGCTGTATTAGCACTTGTATATTGTTTTTTTTTAAATTTAATATTCAAAAATATAGTGTGTTTCTGCCACAGCCCAGTAAGTATTATCTCTCAGGAAGACTTTTTTTTTCTTTAAAAAATATATAACAAAAATCGCATTAATTCAAAGGGTGAGATTTAGCATTTATCTGATTCTTCCAGGGGTGTCAATATAATTTACAAATGCTTCACATGTTTGAACTGAGTCATTTTTCATAAAAATACAGTCCTAGACACATCCATAAAGTAGTAAATCCCTTTTAGACATAACATTGACTTCTGAATAAACAGACACAAAATTATTTGTATGTTGTTTGATTCATGTACATTGTAGGACCAGAATAAATTGCACTACTTACAAATCTCTCACTAACAGCTCTTTTGGAATTGGAAATAATTTTGTAACTCTTTAGTGCCCTCATCTGTTTCATTAGAGGAATGCTATATTTATAATACGAAGTTCCAATATAAATGCATCCCTATTCATACCAAATGACTTATTGGGAAGTGTTAGGTGCACAAAATAGTGTTCCTCATTTTCAATAACCCAAGCACTAGTAGTAAGATTTTTACATGACAAAATTACTCTGATCAAGTCTTGGAGGCTAAATGTGTGATGCTACTTTGGTCTACCTAATGAAGTTAACCCAGTAAATTGCTCACAATATAGAAGATCCTGCAGCACTCTACACAATTGTCACTTTTAACTAAATGCATTGATAAATCAGACTGCATGGCTGCCAGCCTAAAATGAAAATTTTGAATTGTTTCCTTCTGCTTTTCAACTTCTGTAAATCTCTATTCAACATGGGGGAAGATGGGCCTAAGAATTTATACAGATAGTAACAGATTATTACTACATATTACTAAACATCTACTCTAATTGAAGTATCTCATAAAATTGAAATATAAATTCTATGGACAAACTCAAATTGTGCATGTCTACTAATCAATTTATCAGATTACAAACTAAAAAAGGCTTTCAATTTGAACTGAAATCTAAGCCAGATATACTTCTAAGGTATAAGGTCTCCCACATATGCTTGATTAAGCATAAAAGGAAACACAGTAAAGCACAAAGCAGAAATCCAAATGTAATTAATTAATTAATGGCAAAATTGATTCAGTGGCTATAGAAATTGAATGAATGAATGAATAAATAATTCATGCCTAGAAAAAGAGATTGTTGCTATCCCAGTTGGTAACAGGCATATTTTGCATAAATGTCACAGAAGCCTGTAATGTCAATTATGAGCAAACCCAAATGATAAATATACTCTGAATCATTACAACCCTGTGTAGAAATTTATTATTTTCTCTACTCAAGAATTACCCACTCAGGGTGTTCTCAGGTTCAACTCTCTTGTTCTAGCCTTCCCCTTGCATAACTCCATATATGTCAAAAAATAGATGCTAGATGCAGAATTACAGTAAATCATAGTACTATATTTGGGAACTATCTCTGCAAGTAGGAGAAACCACTACCATAAAAGTTCTGTCTATTCTCAATCCATGAAGACAAAGGAAAAAAAATGGTATAGCTTAAATATATCAGAAATTGCTGATTAAGCATGATTGGTATATTTGCATTCAGCGGTTCTCTCCAAGATATGTACTGGCGCAACCATGAAAGATTTTGTCCAAAAACTAGATTGAAATGGGGTTGAAATCATCTTTGTTCACTAGGAAAACCTGCGGGGATACAGCATGAGTATGAGACTTCTCATACAGACAAAAATATGAGAGATCTGTTGCAAAAATAAGAGACAGATGTCTACTGTGTCTTTAACCAATGCATTCTGTAGGGAAAGAAACCAAAAAAAGGTACAAAAGGGTTTGAATTTTGGTTCTATAAATAGGGCTTAGTCTTGATACATTGCTCTGCTGGAATTCTTTCACTATGGCTCTTTTTAAATTTTATTTTATTTTTTAGAAGTGTTTATCTGAAGTTGATTCTTCTGAGCTTATGGATCCAGTTATGCTTGTGGAGTCAAGTCTGACAATAACCCCCTTAAGCACATTACCAAAAAAGGCTATTATGTGATGAGCTGTATTTGTAATAAATCTCTGGATTATTGGGATATAAAGAATCCAATGAAACAAGTTAAGTAAGTACTGTGGTTCAAGCTGATTTACTTCCACTGAGGTATACAGGAACTAATCTGCTGTATTACACCTAGTAATAATGCCAGAGCCAACAGTTGCAGCTTTATTTCTCCAGTCTCTTGATATTCCACCAAACAGCTGCTCAAGGAGCTATCTGAATACATAGGATCTCTTACAGGCATATGTTTTCTGCAGTTCTGCAGTTAATACGAACACAATTAAATAATAGTGTGGATAAAAGAAAGACTTTCCCATTTAAACCACTTCTCCCAGCAATATGAAATATCAGCAGATAAGAGAATTTTTTTCTATCACTGTCATAGGTCTTATGTATAATGTGTGGGTAACAGAGGAAGTAGTGTGTAAGCTAGAAACCCTGGTCACAATCATACTGCCTTTGGCCTTGATCATTAGTGAGGTTTTAACCTACCATCTACTGCTGCTTAAGGATCTCAGAAACAAAACATTGCCAATTCCTTTAGTTCAACATGAAGGTCATTTGTGCAATGTGGCCTCAAAATTATTATCTATTATTCTCTAATATTGAATAAGTATTAACTGATATGTCTATCTAAGTCACTAATTTTTTAAAAAAACGCTATGTCAAAGCAAATCCAATCAATCTGTAATTCAGCTTTACTGCTACACTTGTTTATGATAAGAGAAATGAAATGAAGAACAAAAATTGTAAGGTCTATTTATTGCGCTAAGTCCTGGCAAATTCATTTTAAGCTCAACGTGCTTTGAAAAACTTTCTAACCACATTTTTATGAACACTTACAAGTGTTTCATGCGCTCATGTCTTTATTTTCTCCAGCCAATTTACCAAATATAGCCAATGCTTATTGGCAGATTAAATCTCAGAATATAAACATCAAATAATACAATTTCATATTTTTTTAGAAATGAACAGATTCTGGTCACGCTTTATTTTAAAATATCTTAAATGATAGATGGTTAGTGCCTATGTGGCTGCCATCAAAAATTTTATAAAATTATGAAAATTTACAAAATTAGCATTGACAATACAATGTCTGTCCTATACAATAGCCATACAATAATTTCTAATATAACAAAATAATACATTCATTATATCTGCTTAATCCCATGAAAGGCTCATAAACACCAAAGGAACAAATGGGATTTATGATTAACATATGGACTGCAAATTATTGCTTGGCTTATTTAGACATATATAAAAATAATGATTTGAAAAATATTACTGGAATGTTTTTCATTAAAATACTAGTACAGGTAGTCCTCGGTTTACAACCGTTCATTTAATGACTGTTCAAAGTTGCAATGGCACTGAAAAAAGTGACTTATGACCAGTTCTCACACTTATGACCATGACAGCATCTCTTCAGTCAATGATCAAAATTTGGGTCCTTTGCAACAGGTATATTTAGATAGTTGCAGCATCTTTGAGGTTCTGAGATTCTCACCACAACTTTTCTAGTGAGAGTCTGACAAGCAAAATCAATGGGGAAAACCAGATTCACTTAACAGCTCTAATGATTTGCTCAATAATCATGGCAAAAAGGTTGTAAAATGGAGAATGACTTACTTAACAACTATCTTATTAGCAACAGAAATTTGGGGCTCAATTGTGGTCATAAGTCGAGAACAATCTGTATTAATACTTGATTGGCCAAATGAATACCTTGAACTGAAATGTTTTAAATGTCACATTTGGTAAAACATAATTTTTAACTCAAACTGTCCATTATGAAATATAATTTTTTAAAAAAATCATTGTTACAGGAATTTTCAATCAAAATGTGTTGCATTAAGTCGTAGCTACATTCCATGTAGCATTAAGTTGTTCAAGGTAGTATGTGGGTAATGGTCAGTATTTTCTGTTCACAATAACATTACAAATGCACATCAGAGCTTTTTAGTGTATATTGTAAATTCCTTTAAACCACAGTACTTATCAGTCAAAGAGTAATTAAGGCTGAAATCACTTTAGTGTACAGCAATGCAGAGTTCTACAAAATGAATGCATTGCAACCATCTACTTTGGCAGAAGACAGTTTGTTTCCTTAAACTTCATTACAGGCCTCTTGGGCAATTTGCATTACGGTGGGCATCTAAAGCCATTGGATCAAATGTATTGTGGTTTATCATGTCTCTCATTTTGTCTCTAAGGCCATATGGGGCTCTGGCTATTCTCCTAGAGTCTTCAATAGCTGCATCCTTGTACCTTAGAAGCTGGTTGCTTTTCAGATCTTTTCTTCTTAAGGCTTCTTGCAATTCCCGTAGGTGGCATTTTTCATCATATTCGAGCTTCTGTTTACGGCAATGGTGGTTCCTTTCCTTGGCGCAATTAATTTCTTTTATATGTTGTACTCTGTCTTGCATATTTTTGCTCATGATTTCCCTGGCCTGCTGTATCTTCATCTCAGCTATTTGCAACAACATCTCCTTGCGCCTTCTCTTTTCCTCTTCTGTCTCTTTAGCTCTCGTCTTGGCTACTATGCCATGCTCTTCTTCCTTGTATGACTTTTCTTTTAGTTCTCTATTCCTTTCTTCAAGCAGCTGCTCCAGGATTTCCTGAGATCTCTGAAGCTTTTGTTCAATGCAAAGCCTCTTGTACAACTCATCAGCTTTGAGCTTGTCCTCAACTGGGTCTTTCATCTGCATGGGCTTGAGTTTCTTATAGTCATTCGGTTCTACCTTCCTCTTCTTCCTTTCCATTTCCTTTATAAGCCTCTTCTCCAGGGCCTGCAGCATCTTCTCTTTGTATGCATGAGAGTTCTGATCTTTGACATTTCGGTCCATCAACCGTTTATCCCAGACTTGCTTTTCCTGGCAACGTTTCCTATACTCAGCCTGAAGCCTGGCATTTTCAAATTTCTCTCTACGTCTACACTCCTGCTCTTTAGCTAGCTTTTTCCACTTCTTGTCACGCAACAAAATATCCCTCTCCCTAGCGGCCATTAGTTGCTCTTCCTCTAGCTTAGCCTTGGCTTTTCTTTGATCCCGGTCCCTCTGCCATTGGTCCACATTGTCTGCCAGCTGGTATTGCCTCTCCTTTTCCAACTTCGCTTTGTGCTTCTTCTCCTTCCGCCTCATCTTCTCCCAAGCCTCAGAGACCTGGAGCTGCCTATCCTTCATCTCTTCCTCCTCCTGATGCCTAGCTAACATCAAAGCAGCAAGCTTTTTGTCCCTTTCTGGAATCATGTCTTCATATCTCTTCTCAGTCAGATCGTGGAGGCTGACCTGAGCGTCTCCCTTCTTGGTCTTGTGGTGATTGTGGTGACGGTGATGATGTGAATTGGTGTTAGGGGGCAAATAAGCCATTGGGTCTTCCTCCTCATACTGTCTCAAGGAATGCATCAGGTCTACCAGGCTGGGGCTGCTGTCACAGGGCTCCTGCCAATCCCTTCTTTTGGGTTCCTTCTTCTCCAGCTTGGGAGAAGGTTTATGGTCGATCTGAGTGAAGGAAAAAGACGACGGGCAAATTGACGGTGGCTTGCTGACGTCGGTGGGAAAATCCGTGCCATATTCTAGAGCTCTAGTCACAGGACTGGCCCACTGGTCGTCCCGGAGCAGCTCCTCCACCCGGGTGCACCTGCCTGTCGGAGAGCGTCCGGGCAGCTCGTGGTGGGGCTGGAAATCTCCGCCGTAGAGAGTGGTACAAGAAGTGGTGCAAGGAGTAGCGCAGCCCTCGCCGGCCGGAGCGAGATAATGGTGCTGTTGGGGCAAGGTGGGGCGGCGCAGACGGGCCGAAGCGGCGGTGGCGAGGGCCGGAGCCTTAGCGTGCGGGAGCGAAGCGCCCCTGTACTTGCCTTTCCGCGGCATCAGCATTCCGCCTTCGTCGCGGTACATTTGCGCCAGCTGGAGGCGCCCAAGGCAGCCCTCGCCTCCCGCCGCTTCGGGCTCGGAGCTGTAAGCCGCGTCCGGGAAGCATTGCGGCGGAGAGAAGCGCCCGGGGCTGATTCTCCGGCGCGTCATCTCTTGCTGGGTCTCGCTGCCCGACAGACTACAGCAGGACACGACGGGCGGCTTCTTCCGGCCCTTGCTGGTGTTGGGCGCGCCTCTATCGCTCGGGGAGACGCGCCACCTGCTCTCCGCCCCAAGACACTGCCCCGACCCGCGCCGCGGCCGACGCCGCTGCTGTTGCCGCTTCATGGCCGAAGTGGCCTGCCCGCTGGTCACGCAGCGCCTTGCGCAGCACAGTGAAATTCAGCGCGCGTCACAATGGGGGAGACGGGGTCCGTCCTCCTCCCAGAGCCCATTACGACGCGGGGCCGCAATGCGACTCTGCCCCACTCGCCCGTAGCTGGCCCTGCTTTCTCTTCTGCCGAAGGAAAAAAAGGGCGGCGCGACGCGCGAGGGTTCCAGGCTCTAGAAGTGAGCTAGAACCAGGCGTTTTGGTGGCGCAGTGCCACTCCAGATCCCAGCAGAACTGCAACTTCCCACAAGATGAGTGGAATGGGACACTGGAGTGCCACCTGGAATCCCCTCTCTTGTTAGATCAGAAGCCCGTGTATTTTGATTCAAATGCAAACTGGAACGCCACAAGCTCACTTATGAATTTTCATTCAATATGGCTATTCTTCCAGAAAGAATAGGGCACGCCATGAGAGAAAGTGTCACCGGGGCTTTGGTGAAACAATTTAGTTGCCTGAAACTTTGCCTCTTCACAAAAAATGGCTCCTAGGGTAAATGTTACAAGATATAAAGCAAATAAATAGGATGTTTCTAAAAGGCATAGCTGAAGAATTTCGGTATAAGTAGAGGTCAGATATGAATTCCTCACAACACTTAATGCTATTTAGCTTTTAGAAAGGGGATATGATGGAATTTTTCAAATATATCACATAGAAGTGTTTTATTTTTTTCTATTTCTTAATGCAAGACATGTACTTGTATATGTACTTGTTTCAGGTTACAGGAAGGCAGATCCTGACAGTGGTTCAACTTAGACACGAGGGCCACCCTTCATGAGATATAATGCACCTGACTTTCAATATGCTCAGACAGGGTCAACACCTCTGGGATGTTTAATTTGGATTTTTGCACTGCCCAGACAGATGGATTTGAAGGCCTCACTAGCTCATCTGTCTCTATGCTTCTAATTTACACTGTTTCAGCATCACTTTACCTACTGAACAGTTTCAAGGCTGTACTCTTGCATAATAATAAAATAGCTGAATTGAGTTTTCTGATAAATCAATCTTGCTATGTTCAGTAAGAATCCCTGGTTACAATTTCTTCACTGGCACTGGCTATATTCACCACTGATGCTGGCTACTATTTTATCCACGATTTCTTGAATAAGCCACAATTTTGAGTGAGCCCAAACCATAATGATTAAGCTCATACAACATACTGAGCCATAATCAAACAAAATATTTATAATTTAGCACTATCTGTAAACCTAGTCAGTTCTTTCATGTAAGATATTTATATGCGAATCTCAAAATGAACAATCAAAGAAAGACAAAAATGAATAGCAAATTATATAGCAAGTCATTCATACAAATGACTGTTTGGTCTGAATAATAGGTAACATTTTGTGCATCCCTGTATACTGTGCATATAAACGGGGTAGATCTAAAGAAGGGTATATATACACGATTACAGAAATGTCAGGAAAATTAAAGCTCAGAATGAACTGAGATGTGCAAAGTACATGTGTATACATGTGATATGCATATTCATGATTTGGGTTTTTTTATGCCTTCAAGTCAGTTTTTATATCTGGTGATTATTTGGATAGATCCCTGCCATTTTCTTGGTAGTATTTGCCCTTGCCTGCTTAGGTGAGGGAGGGAGGGAGAGATTAGTTCAACAACAAGACTAGAACTTGCAGCCTCCTGACTTCTAGTCTAGTGTCTTTAATCACTACCCAAAACTGGCTCTCTAACAATGGATATGTGTTTTTAAAGAAGAAGAGAAGATTTCTATTCAACTTTAATATATTATCTGCTCAATGGAGACAACAAAATGCTATCAAGCAACAAAGAGAAGGCAGAATTACTAAACTCCTATTTTGGCTCTGTCTTCTCCAACCAGAGGGTAGGCATTCCACCAAGTAATTGTGAAGAGTGGGGCATATGATTGATGCTTATATATCTCTTGGTTACCGAAGATTTATGTTTCTGTCTTCAGGGCCAGATGAATTATATCCTAGAAACCTGCTGCTGGTTTGACCAAATCTTTAGCCTTCCTTCCTTCTATTTTAACATTGATTATAACTTGATTGCCTCCACCAGAGGAAGTGTTCAGTTCCCTCCTTCATAGTGTCACACCTGTCCCCATTCCTTCCTTTCACCTTTCAACACGCTCTTTGCTGGAGACTTAATGGCTTTGAAACTGAGCAGTTGTGGATTGTTTATACAAATGGTATTTTTGCTCTGGGAATCTTTGCCTGTCAGCTTAACTCTACCAGGAAAGGAGAATGCTTATCATGTGGCAGAGAACATAAAATTGGTGAAATACCTACTATCCAAGAAGACAGGAACAACTTCCGAGAATCCTAATAGATTTTTAAAAAAGCATTTATTTATTAAAATGATTTGTGTGCTGTTTACTCTAATTACTCTAAGTGCAGAGTTATATTAAAACATCTACAAAATCCATTAACTATAATATCTTCCAATTTTTTAAAATGCCATCTTTCATTAAAGCGTACTTTCCCAAAGCCCTGCAAATGATGAAGTGGCTGTGCCATAAGACAAATGACTGAATTAGTGACATTATATGGCAGAAGGGAACTGATGTGGTATAATGATTAAGACATTGGGCTGGAATCAGGGAATCCCTCCTTAGTCATGAAAACCAATTGGAGGTATCTCTTGAATCTCAGTGTTCCTAACTGACTGAGTGTGGGGAAGGTAGAAGGGAGCCTGGTAGAAAATCTAACAAATAATAATAATCCATTCTACTCTTGTATGTGAAAATCTCTGTCAAATAGTGGGTACATTTAACTTTTCCCACAAATCAGGGATTTTTGTGAGTGTGCAAAGGCACCTGTGAGCATATCCTGTGTATATAGGATAATTAAAAACTCATGAATTGACAACATAATGCAAAAAACAGTAACACCTCAGGATCATCTGGTAATTTAATACACAAATATGTGATACATATCACACAATTTCATCCTGCTTAGTGATGAGTAAACAAAACTTAAAGTTACTGGAGGGACAAGTGCTCACAAGCAGAGTTTGCCAGCACTTGGAGGAATGTTTTCGCTATTTTTGTTTCAGAACCCTGGATTATTTCATTAGCTAAACATGTTACAAAAATTGGTTCCTTCCGTAACAATTTCCAATAATTGGAAGTTCAGCAAAATACAGGTGTGTTGTAAAAAGAGAGTGATGGTTACATACAGATGATACCTAACAAATAATCTGCACTTCAGCAATTTTTATTCATTTCATGGGATTGGCCGAAGAATTCTAAACTCCATGATTCTGGAGGACCATACAATTAATTTATACACCTCACTACACAAAAACCCTAACTCTTCCACCATACTGATGAGACTTGTTGATCTTTTTACCATTAAAGCTAATGCAGCTAACACAGCTACGGTAAATTAGTGCTGTAAAAAAACCTCCAGTGTTAGGCAAAAGTTTCTTTAGAGCAAAGGACTAGCCTCTATAAAGAGAGGTATCAGTCCTTTTTGTTTACTTTTGTGACTTTTTGGCAATTTGCGGAGAATTTTAGCCATTTTTATTTCATTAAACTAACATTATTACCTTAGATATGGATGTCAGTTACTACTCCTACAACTTGTTATTTTCCCATTATACTGAAGAGTGGAATGTTCCTGTTGATTTAAGTCCTTTTTCCCCTCACATCTTTTCTTCTTTTTGTCTAATCGTCTGTATCTATTTGTTCAATTTCACTTCTGAAATCTAATTTTCACCCAGCAGTTCTGTGTATCGTGTGGTCTGCTTGTTCAGTTTTGCATTAAAATTGTAAATCAAAAGCAAAGAAAACACTTTTTGGGGTGAATAAGAAGGAAATATTTTCTAGAGGCTTCAGAAGAGAGCACTAAGGAGTCAATTAAAGATAATACATTTTGGGGAAAATTGGTCAATTTTCTCAATTCTCTATCCTGGAAATTTTAGTTAAATCACAGCATAGTTTTTGAGTATATTATGTTTACTCTTTCATGTTTTTTTTTCTAATGAAATTTCATTCTAAGAAAAATGAGATTGTACTGTGCATTTTTTTAAATGACACAACTTCTAAAAAAACCTCCAGTAGTATCAAAAGTGAGCCTTTAGTTACACAGTTTTTCTCCTCATTCCATAGCTTCCTCATACATTTTTGGGGGGGGGGGGGAAAGGAAGGACAGTCAGTGCCATCTGCAGCCTTGCAACAGTTGTCTGTGAAACTACATATGTTACCCTAGCATGTTTTCTCTCCTAAATTAAAGACTTTTGAATTTACCCCTGGAAGCAAGAGCTTATGTAGCTCTGGCAGAGATTTTTCAAGCATTAATGTCTAAAGAAAGTAGTGTCAAAGAATGAGAGCATTCAGACAATGTCGGCACATCTTAGAATTGCCATGGTTGAAACATTGATGTAGACTCTTTCCATCCTCTATAAACACAACTGTATCTTTTGTTGGTTAGTATTTGTATTCTAATATTAAAAGATTTATTTAAAAAAAACTTCAAGTGGCTAATCAGCCTGGACAATATAAACAACAATCCCAAATTGATCTTGGAATATTTATTTGGAGGTATGACCAATTTACGACCAAATTGAGCCAACATTTCTGTTAGGTGAGATATTTGTTAAGTTAGTTTTGTCCCATTTTACAACTTTTCTTGCCACAGTTATTAAGTGAATCACTGCAATTGATAAGTTAGTAGTCCAGTTGTTCAATGAACCTGAAACCTTCCCAATTGACTTTGCTTGTCAGAAGGTCGCAAAAAGGGATCAAATGACTTGGGACACAGCAACAGTCATAAATATGAACCAGTTGCTAAGCATCTCAAATTTGATCATGTGATCATGGGGAAGTAACAAAGGTCGTAACTGTGAAAAATGGTCATAAGTCACATTTTTCAGTGTCGTAACTTTGACAGTCCTTCCTTCCTTCCTTCCTTCCTTCCTTCCTTCCTTCCTTCCTTCCTTCCTTCCTTCCTTCCTTCCTTCTTCCTTCCCTCCTTCCCTCCTCCCTCCCTCCCTCCCTCCCTCCC